GACTGCTGTTGGGACTTTGAAAACACCTGTGTGGAATCAAGTATGAATTCTGACACTCAGTCCATTTGCATTCTGGTTGTGCTATCCTCGGGCAGATGCTTACCCTCACCTGGACTTCCTGGAGCACAGTCAATGACCGGTGGCCTCTTGATGGAGCTAAACCCAGAGTTTTCCTTTATTTCATCCAGGTTGAGGGATAGCATTGCTTTCAGCACCTGGAGTGTGATAAACCACATGTATTTCCACAGAGTTTTGCCTTGGTGGACCGCCCAACATCTTGATTCGTTTCATTTTCAGGGGTTCTCAGATTTCAGGGTACGAAAGTCTCCCATCTAAGGTTGGTTATTCTCAGTGATGCTGATGCCAGGGTCCTCTTTTCCTTAGCAAAGGGGTGGTTTGTAATGGTTAATTCATTAGGAGATCAGAGAAGAAGATGAAGGTTTGCAGAGCAGCCCTGCTGCCATTGTGCTCTCTGTCTACCACAGTCAGGGTCAAGATCTGCATTCCCTTTCCTTAGTCCTCCGGGCCAGCTTCTCCTGACCTGGTTAACGAGTCATGCTGGAAATGGAATCATACACACCATTGCAACACACAGCAGTGACCTATTGAACATATTACCTAAGCACAGGGGGTGGATACATTTTTGTCACTGTTTCCTAGCAGGTGGAATAAGGAAGTGGCCTCTTGCTTGCTTTCATTTATTTTATTTTGAACAGTACGATTTATTTAAACTCATCTCCTGCTAAGGATATAGCCCAGAAGTATCCTCGAGGTGTAGGGGAGGGCGGATCGCCAACTTCAGTTACGGTCATCTGGGAGGCACCCTGACCTGCTGACCTGCTTGCAGACCTGGTTGTGCACCTGTGACTTCGATGTCCTGATGTCCTAGATGCCAATCATTAGTCAGAGTCAGGGACTCTGCCCTGTTCAGGGCTCTTGTTTTCACGGCTGTGTGGGCATAGAATGGTGTTCCCTTTCTCCAAACTCAGACGCATCCCTGTGACCGGACCAGAGCTACAGTTAGTAAAGGTGCACTCCTCTCTGCCCACGAGGAAAAGCAGCTTGTATGCTGTGTCTGATGCAGATAAACCAAACTTTTTACAGTATGACAGCAATAGAAGGGAAATGCATGATGTTTCTGCTTTCTGTGTTGACTACTTTACATTCATTACATGCTCAGATTTGAACGGTGCACTTTTACAGCCCGAATATGGACCTGTAATGCATTTCGGTGTGGGGAGGCCAGGCTGGAGTCTAGCCTTTGCTCCTGCTCTGATGACTGTTTGCAGAGGAAAGATTGCTGTGCTGATTATAAGAGCGTTTGCCAAGGTAAGCAAATGGCTGCTGCCACAGTCATGGAAGGGAAAGGCCCAGCGCCGGCCTAGCTTTCAGCCATAAAAATAATCAGAGACTCTTGAGTTATTTCATATAAACAGAGGAGGAAATGTACTTTCTGTGAAAGAAATTTGATCTGTGTATTACAGAAGGAGGGAAGTTCTAGCAGAAAGGTTGGCGAGTATAGAACTTAGAGCTCCATGCTGGCCTACCAGGCCAGGTCCTTTTCCTTCCAGTGACTGTGGAAGAGACAAGTTGTGGGTTAAGGCATTGGCTGACAGACCCTAAGATGGAAATAACATGCAAGAAGGTCTTAGTGACATCAAGTTGATGCCGACTCAGCAACCCTAGAGGACAGTTTCTAACTCTTTATGGGAGTAGACAGCCCCATCTTTCTCTCAAGGAGTGGCTGGTGGTACATTCCTTCTCTCTCTCAAGGAGTGGCTGGTGGTATATTCCTTCTCTCTCTCTCTCTCTCTCTCTCCTGATCCCCATGGAGGAGGTGAGCACACTATATTCTTTGTCTCTTTTATTTCTTTTTAATTGTAGAACAGTTTCTTAGAACCCAATTGGTTGTGACAGGCTAGTTTTCTGTCACACCCAGCATATCAGAATGAAGTGTC